GATTTTCTGGAGTGGCATGGCTCGTAAATAGGAGTGAGATCAAGGGCGAATAGGGAGTGGTTCGAATGGACGGCCGATAGTGAACCCTTAGATCATGCACCGTTCATTGGACATTTGGAGGCCTTAATGATGTTGGAATTCAGCGATCTTGCGCTCGTTGGATTTGTGTCGTCGAGCCGCTCGATTCGAGTATAAGCTCGTCAAAATCAGAGACCGTTTGATAACTCAAATTGCTGTTAAAACCTTCCGACAGTACTTTGAGTCCTTGATTCAGACTCATTTGGGCTCGGATTGGGTTGATCTTGGTTTCTTTGGGTTCGTATTTCCGAGACGCTCAGTTTGACTGTAAGCTTGCTGAAATCGGAGTTTGGGTGCTCCCAAAATTAATTTTTGAAGTTTCCAACTAGCTTTTGCCTCGAGATTCGTGCACGATCAAGATAATTTTTGCATGACGTATCAGTTGCCCCCCTATTTTCGGATGTCGAAACTCTAGGAGTCAAAAAATATTTGTTTCAATATTTTTAACCGGTCGAATCGCAAAAAATTACTTTCCAAAAGTTGAATATTTGCATAAACTTGACTGTAGAGGCCTCGGTGAACTCCAAAAGTATCAAAATTGAGTCTGGAACGTCAAAAAACATGTCCGGGGACCCCGAAAATGTCGAAATCGGACCTTTCGGGAAGAAAATCTGGCCAAATCGCAAAAAAAAAAGAACCTTTTGGTAGAATGAAGCCCCCAAGAACAAACATCATGAGGAGTGTGAGAGCGCCTCCAGTGTTTGAAATTATCATTGATCTACACACCCCTGCAGTAAGTCTAAACAACCCAGCGGCCATCTGCTGAATTAAGAACACTACCAATAGCTGCTTGAAGAATATGTTAAACAAAAATAAACATTAATAACATCACAAATTCTCAAATTCCACAATCTGAAAATAGCAAGAGCTCACCTACTAGCCTCTGGTGCAAACCCAATAGTGTAGTAAGTGGTGACAAGCCACGCAATGGACTCAACCACAGACATGGGGATTGTGAGTAGAAAATTTGGAAGGGTGAAAACCCATGCAGGGTAGAAGAGCAAGTCCCTCTGCTTATAGAAAACTGGTAGTCTTCCAATGATTATCGACAGCTCCGCAAAACCATTGAACATATTGACAATGAGACTAAAAAGAAGTGCACCAACGTAGATACTACCATTTTCTACACTGTCTGTGTGCATTCTTGTTCTCAAGAACACTGTTGATGCTATGAGAGCCGTCAAAATGATCTTCAAAAGCAAACAAAATGCATTATTAAACAACATACTACATATGTTCTAGTTTCAAATTCAAGTCATACTATCTGGAAGACAAACCTGTACAGTCTTGATGATGTATACAAAGGAATTGCGCTTAATGAGCAGCCATTCCTTTGCAAAGGAGGCCCTGAGGAGATCAGAGTATGGTACAGGATTCTTCTCGAAAACAAGTGCAGCGCGGTGGCAACGGCTCTTGTCAAAGGGAATGGATAGCTCATTCTCTAGACGAAGGCCCACATGGAAGCGACGAAAATGCTGAACAAATTCAGATACTGGAACATATTGGTATGGTCGATTATGGTCATACCAGTATTGTGCTTGGTCCTTACGAGAGGTAACCTCTTGGAGGAAATCAGCAGTGCCTTTCCTCTCAGGACAACGAAAACCACATGATTCAAAGAATTCCAGGACAAGTTCACGTGGACCTTGATACACTATCTGGCCTTCACTTAGGAGGATAATGTCATCAAAGAGATCAAACGTTTCAGGTGCAGGTTGTAGAAGAGACATGAGAATGGTGGCATCCCCTAAATGCACGATTTGTTGCAAGCATTTTACAATTTGGTAAGTAGTAGAACTATCAAGCCCAGTTGATATTTCATCCATGAATAATGTATTTGTTGGCCCCACGATCATCTCACCTGCATTTTTCAAATGTTATAGTCTAACATGCTAAGCTAACAACTGAACAATGTCTCTTACATGAGAGTATGACGTTCAACAAAATAAGTTAGAACTAGAGAGAGTTTTTTGTTGACTTAAACAACAGTTATCACTCTAATAACATTTAATCTCATTTTACAATTTGGTATGGTGGACCTTAATGCTGATGGAAGCTCCTATTGACTGACTTGGAAAATTGTAATGATTCTTTATATTAAAGGAAATTTTGGGAATAGGTAAGACACTCTAATGCTTATCTAATCATCTTCAAATAATTTAGACACTTAGGCTTCATTTGGGATGGCTTTCTTACTGTTTCTTAAAGCAGTTTTTTTTTTGAACTAAAAAGTTGCTTTAACAAATAGTAAAAAAGACGTCCCAAATGAAGCCTTAAGGTTGATGTGAAAACTCTATTTTTGAGCACACACCAGTAGTGACGCGTTTCTTCTGACCACCAGAAATCCCCCTTTGCATCTCATCTCCAACGATGGTATCAGCACAGATATCCAGTCCCAGTATCTGCATAAAAAAATTAAGCTCCCAAATGAATTCAAGCTAATACGGGGCATTTAAAATCTGCAGGATTTACTATTTATCTTACAAAAGAAGTCTCAAATTTTGATTCTCCGAAGATTTATAGTATTCATTAAGTCTATTTTAAATCATTCGGGCCCTAATTTTTACTTACCCAACACGTTTTTGATGGGTCATCAACTACAGGATTCAATTCACCAAATCCGATAAGTCTTATTATAGAAAGTAAAAAGCATAAATGAAGTTTAGAATTTAATATTGAAATTAAAAACAAGATTGAAAAAAAAAATATAAACTATATACAGATGAGAAGTTAAGCAAATGATTACTATTAAGAAAATATTAAAAAACTGCTGTGCTTGAAACGCAATCAGAGTAGACCAAACAACAACCACCTTGCGAGCATCACAAAGACATGGGAGAAGCGTGGGGGTAGGCCAACTCACTATAGTACAGGAGTGGGTGAGCAATTCGGTCAATGCGAACTCCAACAACCCAAGACTAGCAGCACTTGGATTGTCATCCACTTTGCAATTTTTTAATAAATTTGTATAAATATCTTTAATAACTTTATGCTTTAAAAAAAAAAAAACAAATTTTTATGAATATATACATTCATATTCGATCGAAAAAAACTAATCAAATCATTTTAGGAATTTGAATTGAATTCAAGCCTCGTTTGGTAGCATATGGAGTTTTGGTGAGAAACGGTGGTTCCAAAATTGCCTTTTACAAACTGAGAATAAAAAATAAGGCTTGGTTTGGTTGGGCGTAATTGGTGCCATTTCCGTTTCTAAAACATGAAAAAAGATGTGGATCGTTGTTTGGATGCATAACTTTTACAAAACTGTGTTTTTCAAACCTCAATTATCGCACCAATTTGCGAAGTTTTTTATTTTTGCTACTCCGTTGGTAAAATACATTTTTGGAACCACAGTTTATCACCAAAACTTCTTTTGCTACCAAACGGGGCCTAAAAAGTTCTCAAATTGGTACGATAATGGAGATTTAAATAACACATTTTTTTAAAAAAACTATGCATCCGAACAACAACCGACATCTTTTTTCCATGTTTCAAAATGTAAATGTCACTAACTGCGCCCAACCAAACCAAGTCTCATTAACTTATTGATCATGTACCAAATCAAATATCATATGACTCAGAGAATCATCAAATATCATATCTACACTTTATGAAAACAGCAAAAACATCATTCATCCCAAACAATATAATATAATAATAAGTGATTAAAAACTTTAATTAAAAAGCTGATCAATGTAATTAACAACTAATGCTTCTGATTAATCGGTGGCAGGTCATACCCGTAAAGTGTAGTCCGTTTGGAGGCTACTCTTCACCCCTTCCATCGAAGTGGCCTAACAAATTTTGAGCAATCAAAACCTCAATCAAATAAAAAATAATTATCAACATTAATTCAGAATTAGTATAATGACAATACCTTCATGAAGAGGTCAACTTCGGCTTCTGGAAAAATCCCTGCCACTTTCTCTCGCCTTAACAGCTCCGTTTGAAGATCTGAAACCCCACATTAATTATAATTAACACAAATCATTAACCTACCTAATCAAAGAGATAATGATGTTTAATAATTTAATCGAACCGTATCGTGCTCCCACGCCTTGACACCTGGCAGAGAAGTCCAGTGTTTCTTTAACGGTCATCTCGCCGACGTGGACATCATTCTGGCTAATATACGCCGCCGTTTTCTGCGGCACGAACTCATTCAGCCGGTAACCATTGTAGGTTATCTCACCGCTCGCCTATCAAGCACCAGCCACATAATTAATTAATTAATTGATTGATTGATTAACTAAGCTAATCCATGTTTAGTCGAGTTAATCCAACCTTAAGAGTGGAGTCAAGCTTTCCAGCCAGAGCTAATAGAAGAGTCGTCTTCCCCGACGACGGTGGCCCCAACAAAAGCGTCATCCTGTAACAAATTGATTCGGAATTCTTAAGAGAGGTTGAAGAAAGAGAGCAGGTTTTAGTTGCAGAGAAGGTGTTTGATGAAATGACCTAGAGGGTTTGATGATGCCGGAGATGTCTTTGAGGATGGTGAGAGTAGCGCGCTTGTTGAGTCGGATGCCGATGGCTTCGAGGGCTGACTCCAGGATGTTCTGTGCTGAGTTGGCGAGCGTTGGTAGGGCCCGATTGCCGACGTAGCATTGTGCCTCTACCTTCAGGTTCTTGAACCGTACCTCGACCGTTGGAAGTTGGATTCCAACCCTATTAAATTAATTAATTAGTTTTTTTCTAATTAGTTGATGGGGCTTTTATTTGCTATAGTTAGTATTAGTTGAAAGATGCTATTTCAAATCAGTTTGTTAAGGGATTGGTCAACTTAATCAGCTAATTTGATGAACCAAAATAATGACAAATTAAATTAATTTTTAAATATATTTTGAGTTAATCGAGCGGCTCATTAATGAGCTGATGGGTTGAGCCAGATTGACTTTGACTCGAACTCATATAATATATAAGCTCGAGTATAGGCTTGAGCTCAAAAGCGTGGTTTGATAAGCTCAACTTATAAGTGCTTTAACGAGTCGAGTTCAAACTATCTCATTATACAGCTCGGCGGCTTACTTAGCCCCCTAATATTAATATCATCACATATAGTTAAATTATTTTATTATAATTTATAGTATTTATTATTTAAAATTTTTTTATTCAAGGTAATTCTTTTATTATTATTCTCTTTTACTTATTATATATAGATTTATTTCTATCAAGATATTAGTTGTTACTTAATGCAATAAACGTTGGCGCAATTCTAATTTTCTAATAGTTCTTACCAACTTTTTATCAGAGTAATTCTTAAAAATTATATTATATTTATTTTGAGATGAATGAAATAAATAAAAAATTAAATAAAATTTATGTTACATTCATCTTAAAGTATTTGAATAAAAAAATAATCGATGAGAATATAATTTTTATAAAATAAGTTGTGAAATTCTTCAATTTATTTTGATATAAGTATAATATATACATAATCAATTATTTTGTATTAATTGAAGCTAATAAAATAATTTTATTCTTTTAATTAATCATCAATAAATTTTATTATTTTCTTCACTTCTTTAAAATTTATCCTAACAAAAAAATTTTTCCATTAGCTGAAATCTTTTTTTAGAAATATTAAATTATTATGTAAAGTAATTAGTAATTACAAATATAAACTTATTCGAAAAATTTAAGAAAAAGAAAGAAAAACATAAAGAAGAAGGAACCGACTTATCAATCCTGTTTCTGAATTTGGTGAGGAAGCGCTCGTTATCTTCTTCAGCTACTTTAAAAACACGGTGGATAAACTGCTGCCGCTCGTCGACGGTGAGCTTTCTCACATCCACCTCCTTATGCACCAATCTCTGCTGTTTAATTTGATCTCCGCCATCAACTCCGGCGGCGGCGGCTTCGGCTGCGCCGTCTTCGACGAAGGACTTGAGGATTCCTACGCGAACTCGATTGTAAGTGGGAAGTCGCTCTATGGCAGCCCACCGGAGCGCCTCCTCGTCGTCGTCGATGCGGCGTCTTGAAGATGCAGTATTGCTTCTTGTGAAGGCCTCGTCTACTCCCCAATTCTCCAGATTCATTCCTCGGCTGATGCTTCTACTCAGCCGCAAACTCGCCTTTTTACCTGAATCCCAAACCCTCTCCATCGATCCTCTCTACAATTTCCTCTCTCTCTCTCTCTCTGCTTCTTTACATAAATGTGACTTTCTCACTCTACTGGTTCTTTTGGAGGATGGAGGAGATAAAGGATGTGAATCGGAGAGGGTTTGGGGTCACGCTTCTTATATTATTGAAAGAAGGCCGCCTTAGGCGTTCCGAAACAAGAGCGGTAGGTGAGCTTAATTAGTTAATTATATTCATTAATTAATAATTAACGTGTTATTATTTGATTTTATATAGTTTTCTCTCTTCTTTGATTAGTTAGTCCAATGAGATCCAAAAAGGCAATGTCTAGTTTGGTAATGCGCTTTATTTTTAAAGAAAATATTTACTGAAATTTTAATTTATTAAAAAGTTAATTCTTTTCTTATTTAAATTGGATTAAAATTCGATCATGATATATTTTAAGTTCATTAAATTTATTTTTAAATTAGTAAATTATGTATAATATTTATTTTGAAATAATTAATGCCTTTTTCTTCCATTCATTTTAGTTCGCCTATAAAATTTTAATTGTTGCATTCAAAAATATTCATACATATATAAATTGAGTCTAGATAGGTCATAGTATAGATATAAAATTATAACTAAAGTCAAGGGCATGTCATAGGAGATAAAATGATTTTTTAGGTAAAAATTAGGAAAAGAGAAATATCATTAGGTCTGACTTAATTGAAATGATTTAATAATTATATATCATAAGTTACAAAGGATATACTTTCCCGTAATTTAAAAAAAAAATGATATAATGTAGAAGATATGGGTTGCGAAAGACTAATTTCAACATGAAAGTAAGATGATTTTGGATGTGTTGGAGTTTTCTTCAAAAGATAATTGGTAGTATATTCAGAGGCCGCAAATTAAAAAAATGGGCATAAGCTCATATGTCGATGTCAACGTTGATGTTGATAACAGATCTTGACCTTAGTAGTGATGGCAAACGTCGATGTTGATGTTGTAATAGCCCATATATTGATTCAGTTAAATAAAATTTTTAGGAGTCATTATAAGTTAAACTTACAAGCTATCTTCCTTAATATTGATATTATTGTACTTTAATTATAATAATTTTTTTCTTAATTTTAGGGGCAATATAGAAAATTAACATTTATCGGTACAAGTTGAATTTTTTGGATGATTTGATGTCCGTTTTAGAATCAATTTAATCATATCATTGTAGACATACTTTCAATAAATTTCAAAAAATTTTAGAGATCCGAATTTGAAGATACATAAATTTTATGACAAAAGTTGAGCAAATAGAATAATTATATTTATACCCTTATATTATTTTATTATAAATATCAATCTCCACTACAGAACTTATGACATTGCCATTTAATTCATTTTCCCTAAATCAGAGAAGCAAAAAAAATGAAAATGATAAGAGAAAAAAAAAAACAGAAGAGAAAAAAGAAAACTTATGATTTAAAGGTCATGGAGTGATTTTTTATAGTTAGTCATGTTTTGAAATTTGTTAGTCTCATGGTAGGCTACCATTGCCCTAACTATGATTTCAATGATTTTGTGTATTTTGTAGTTTATAAATTTTAATTTGGTTAGAATGTATAAAAGTTATGATATCTTGATTTGTGACAAATTTTCACAGCTTAACTTTTGGCATGTAATAAATGTTATCAATAAGAGCATTTTAACTAGAACATATTAAAATTTCTCCAGATAGAAAATACATTAATTTGGGTAATTTAGATAAATTTTTAAATTTGAGAAATAGTTATGAAAATTCTTTTATATGCATATATGACCTGCATACTTATACCTATTTTCACTACAGAAAATTCAGGCATTACCAGCGGTTTTTTTTTCGGCGTTTAATGTAAGATTTATGGCGATTTCGTAAAATACATGCGGTTCAAAAATCATCGGAATAAACCACGTAGGAAATGATTTACGGTGGTTATACTTACGAGCAGTTTTCTGGACGCCTAGTTGGGCAGTAATTTCCTATAACGCCGGTGACCGCCGGTTATACTACAGGAAAACAGCTAATTTTCGGTGGAAATAAATTTGATAGAAATTCCGGCGGATTTTCGAAGGAAAATTTTTGGTGGAGCTTCGTCGTATTTTTCGATTGGATTTCCGACGAAAATTAAATATGTTTTAAAAAAAGTTTTAATAAATTATTATAATTATTAATTTCTTATCAAATTAAATTTTTTATTTTATAATATAATAGTATATTTTTAAAATTACGTTATAATATAATAATATATTTTTATAAATTATGTTGTAATTAATTAGATATTATTATAATTATGTTGTAATTAATTAGATATTATTATAATTATGTTGTAATTAATTAGATATTATTATAATTATGTTGTAATTAATTAGATATTATAAAATTATAAAATTATTAGATATTATTTGTTATGTTATCGGGGGTTCTAACCTCGCCACAGGCGCCCGCACGCATTGCCTGCTGGCTGGGCGGGCCAGTTGGGTCGGTTGTTTCTAGGCAGGCTGGATTGCTTGGGTGGGCCGGGCATTTTGGGTTAGCTAGGGGGCGGGAGTTGGGTCGGTTGTTCCTAGGCAGGTTGGGTTGCTTGGGCGGGCATTTTGGGTTAGCTAGGGGACGGGATGAGGGTAAGGCTCTTGGGCTGGCTCGGTGTGTTCGGGTTAGCTAGTGGAGGGCGGACATAGGTGGGGCGGGCTGCTAAGATTGAATTTTTTTTCTTATTTTCCGGCGCAAACATAATCCGTCGGAATTTTTTTTTCTAACGAATTTTGCGACGAATTATTTAATATCGGAAAGGCTTTTTTGACAAGCATTTTACTGTCGAAATAATTTCCACCAGAAATGCTCATTTCTGACAGATTTTATCCAATTTCCGACGAAAATGAACGCCAAAAAATAACATTTTTCCTGCAGTGTTAATCACCGGCGGCTTACCAGTCGTCCGGCTGTCTAACCGCCGGTGTTACTGGCGGCCAAACTGTGGGTAGCCGCCGGTAAACCACAGGTTAATCACCAGCGGCTTACCGGCTGTCAAAACAGCCAGATTACCATCGGTTGACCGCCAGTAAACCACCGGTATTTACCGGCTGCTTTATTAAATTCTGTCAATCCTCTTCGACCCAGTAATAATTTGTTATACATCCAATATCTCTCTTCTTGGATAGTCATTTAGAAGTTAAAGCAAACGTTTTCCTATATATTTGTGAAATCAATTATTAGAAAATATGCCGTTTGAACAAGTGTATGTGCTTTACTTTTAAACAAGTGTACTTTACTTGAATTGGAATGCATTCACCAACTATCCAATAAATACAACAATACAAGATAAATAGTTTATGTGACAAAATGGAAAACTTGGCTAATGACTCGTATCCTATCTCTAAGGGTAAAGCCACTCATCACCTGCAACACTTAACCTTATTTGAGATTATGCGCAACAACATTGGTATAAATGAAATGCATTGGCCTCCTTGGCGATAGTGTGAATGGGAATTGATGTTGATGACTTACACCGGCTTTATTAACAATAACATATGTTGGTACTTATTTTAACATTATGCATCAACCTTATTGTCTATGGCATGAAATAACATCAATATTAATGACGTGCATCAGTCATGTTAACTACAATATGTTTTGATTACATGCATCATTTGAGGTAGAAGCTCTTAAGAATTTCATTATTAAAAATTGGTGAGAATTATACGATTTGTTGTTGTCTCCTAAATCAATCATACAACCCCACATTTATAAGGTTTTATGCTATTTTAAAGAATAATGCATTTAATTACCTTAGGCATCTAACCTTAAATATAACTTAGAGATATATAAGAATTACACATGGTAATTGTTGACGTAAACTTAATCTTGAAGGTTTGAATTCTTGACTTGTAAGATCTAATCGAAACTTCTTGGAAGGAGACACCAACTAATTGGGTTGGCTTGCTAAATGAGGTTATTGACTTGGCGGATAAAGTGATTGTCCCGTTGGATTGTTAATATATCGTATGGCTGATTTGCGGCATGCAAAACTTGGTAGGCAAACTCCAATAGGCAAGTTGCCATATGCATCGAGTTATTGAACTTTTATTTGTGAATCATCATATGTGTTGAGTCTTTAAACTCCAATTGGGGTATTATTTTTCTCTTCAAGTTATTGAACTCTGATAAAATAATTTTCAAATGTGCAAGTTATTAAAATCTAATATGTGACTTACAATAGTAAGTTTAATTTGATTCTAGTGTGTTCATGTCAAATTTGATGTTTTATAGGGATTGAATTTGATTAACTTCAAAACTTTTGTCCGAAGCAATAATGTAATATAAATCTTATCTTTTTTGTTTTTATTTCAATAAGCTCATTAAATATGACTTTTTCCACATAAAACTCAAACTTAGAATTAATTGAAAAGGATGACTTTTCTTAAGCATGAATTGTCCATCTACCTAAAGGCTTAATTTGGCTCTCCTGCATAGTGTACTCTTTGAATTTTCAGATGATCCTATGCTAATATCATTATAAATTCAAATAGAAGTTGGTCTCTCCATAACTTAATTAGCATAATATTTTTTAAAGAAATAAGTTTGTCCAACAATGTTTTAAAGTGTTTTTTTTTTACCAATTTGAAGTATTGAAAATCAAACTTATCAAGTTTTTCAATCAATTTCTTGATTATTTTCATTTGGGCATATATGTATTTATTTTTCATTTCGTTAACAAATACAACGGATTTCCTAATAAGAATGAAATCACCCAGTTTTATGTTTAGTCTTCAAATTATTGAGATCAATTTGGCTTTATGATGATAACTCTCGTTAATTCTCTGTCTGATTAAAAAGATTGGATCGGATAAGTTAATGAGTTCCTTTAGTCATCGTTGCGATATGAGGATGTGTTTCCTAAGTTGTCATTTGATCTTCTACACTCACAAATCTCTTGTGTCAGACTTCTTTCCTAGTGGAATATTTCTAATATCTTATGTTGATTCATGCTCAATGCACCTTTTAGGATATTGAATCAAGATTTATCAATGAGTGGCACTTGAATATTACTTGTAGGACCTAGAGATTTTTAGAAGAACTACACACACAAAGCATCTTAAATTAAGAAATGAGCTCATAGAGAGAAA